TCATTTGAAAAAGTTTTAAACAAAGATTCCCAAATTATTCAAAATTTAATTGAATGTAACCCAACAAAACAACCATTATTGAGAGATAGAAAATCTATTAAGTCAACTACTATTTTATCCATTTTAAATACTTTCTTCAATTTCTTGCCAGAAACCTCGTCAAACAGAATTCACATATTGACTACAATTTTAAGCATTGTTGAAGCCTCGAATATTGACTACAGTTTAATCCAAGAGCCAATTGGTAATAGCTTGGTTTTATGGTTGACCCAGGCCAATGCCACAGATGAAGAAATCAAATCCATCTTCTGGAAATTTATTAACTTGGATGACAAAAAGTCTTACAAATCATTACAATTGATTAAATCCTTCACATCAAAACACACATTAAACTTAAATGAATTACATAATTTAATTAAATTTGCTTTATTGTCATCTACTACAGATGTTTCGTTTTTAGTTAACAATACTGTGGCTAGTGCCTTAAAGGAAAATTCAAGTGATGAATTAGTATCGCTTTTTACTAAATACACTAGAGGTGAATTAATTACATCTGTTCCTTCTTCTTCTGGTTTATCAAGTGAGGATGTTGAACAAAAATCAAGAATCTTGGCATTAGGGAAATTCTTCATCGACAACGATAACAAGAATGTTTTCAACTACAATGAAATTCCAACCGCATTAGCCTCATCCGCTGAAGATTTTGAATCATTATTAATCAATTCCATTAAAGCGGGTGTTATTGAAGGTAAATTAAATCAATTAGACCAAACATTCTACTTAACCAGAGTTCATAGATTTATCATAGCTGGTGATGAAGAAAGTATCTCTAAAAATTGGGAAAATGTGAAGAATGCTTTGGTGGATTGGAAAAATTCGTTGGCCAATATTGACGATATCGTAAACACCTCGAGAGAAAATATCGTTAACAATAATAATAATTAATTGGAACTAGAACCTGTATTTAGTTTGATTCTAGTTGATTATAATGTATACTGACTAGAGAATTCTCCTGAATTCTTGTTATATTTATGTACATGATGTTATATTAGTTTGCTTTTTCTTCCTTTTTATATTTTTTATTATACAATCACTCATAAATATAAATTAATTAATATATTAATCGAGAAAACAATCCCGAAACAAGCAATAAATGATCTATTAGTCTCTTTCATTATCAAGTACCACTAAAAATCCACCCACTAAATGTAATGATCCACACACGAATACATCAATGATAGGTGAATCATTAGTCAAACTCTTCATAAAGTTAACGCTTGTTTCAATATCGTGAAAAATATGCTTCCGAGAATTAAAACCATTCTTCTGATCTAACTTACTCCAAACCTCTGCTAATTCTTTTTGGATAATCAACTTATCTACCTGTTCCTTGGAGCTATTTAAAGAAACTAAATCGCTATTGTAGTTTCCATCAGACCACGTAATGTTAGTAGTAAAAATAACATGATCAAATTTAAACTCGGCAGAACTAACATTCTCGTATAATTTTCTTAACAAATCATTTGCATTCTCTCGGTTTTGTTGATTAAATAAAAGAATCTTCAAACCCTTATTAGGTTGGTGCTTAGTATTAACAGTAGATTTGAACCAAGAAGATGCAACATTGATGGACTCAAGGGTATGCGCACCATCAATATACCAATTGATACCCTCTTTTTCAACCAATTGACACCGGCCACTCCATTGTGTGTCAGATAATCCCTTTAAGAACTTATCGGGTAAGGTATTACTGTTATCGAAGTCAGGTAACTCATTTGATGGCACACCTAACTTCTGCAAATGAAGTGTTGCCAATTTGATGGCCAACGCAGCATTCAGTCTTTGAAAATCACCAGCCAAACCTAACTTTACGTTGGGCGGTAAATAATTTGTGTCCACAATTTCTAATGTAGACACACCTAATTCGGTAGCTCTTTGTTTGATGACATCTAATGACTCAGGGTACTCTAATTGGTCACTTACGACAGCTGGACAGCCTTTTTTGAATATACCAGTCTTGTTCCAAGTGATCGAGTCAATTGTGGTGCCCAACATAAACGTATGGTCGATACCCAAACTGGAAATACCAACTACCGTTGGTGCGTCAATTATATTTGTAGAATCATATTGACCACCCACACCAACTTCATAAATAGCAGTATCCACTCCTTCTGACATGAATACATGGAATGACAAAATGGTCAAGTATTTGAAATACATAGGCTTGACAATGTTACTAGGTTGCAAAGTTGGAAATTCTGTTGCTGACGATTCCGTGGTAGACAATTTATCCCACACTTCGAAAAAGTACTTTGTAAACTTCAATTCATTAATCGGACTACCATTGATTCTGATTCTTTCTCTGACCGTCTTCAAGTGGGGCGACGTAAATAACCCAATCTTATTGATTGGCCCGCTATTAGTCGATCTATATTGGCTCAAAATAGACTCGGCGAATGCACAAGTGGACCCCTTACCCTTAGTTCCGGTGACATGAATGAGATTCATTCGATTGAAATCCTTGGGCTGATACCCCAACCTTCTGGTATACTCGTAAACCTCTCTAATAGACATCTCATTCTTATTCACATCCGGCCCCAACTTTTTGATGGCCTCTATGGATGCAAAATTCGATTGTAACGTGTTCAATGCATTAATCGCATCCTTGTATGTTCTAGTGGCTGTACTTGGAGTAGGCACCCGCATATCGTTAATAATAGTCGGCGTCAATTTGTTGTTGTCGGATTCGCTCATGGATAAAATAAGTTACCGCCTCGTCTACTAATGGTTGATTGAAAGATACACAATAATCGTTTAAGAATGCTTGTACCAACACAACTACTCAAAAATCTGAATCTTATAGTAGAATCCGTTCAATTATCTGCTTATACTTCTAATCATCAGACGTTGAATTGATTGACACTAATGTATCTGGGATCGAGCTGTGTGCAGGATAAGATACATAATACCAACCCCAACCAACCTATTTGCCTACTTGCCTACATAAAACTACATTTTACGTTTTATAACTACATTCTGATATCGGACCAAGACGGCGTCCTATCTGGAATTCCAGACAACTCTTTGCGCCGTTAGTGTATAGCCATGTATAGGAAAAATTAAAATGCCTTATAAACGTGAGAAGTCTCACTGCCGGTGTTCGGCTCCCCTAAAAAAATTTGAGAATGAGTCAACCTTCAATCCTCATCGAAAGTGCACTAAAGAATCTAGGATATATTTTATTTCTTTTCTATTGCCACGCTATAATATAAAAGGGTGTATAGAATATCTATCAAACTGGTAATTTAATATTTCAACATTAATTCAGATAAATTTTGATCATCAACTGATTAGATTCTGATATAAAATTGCATATTTTACATTTATAATTGATTATTTTAAGTTTAATTCCACAGTATAGTATCAGTATTTCCAAGATGATTTTTTAATGTATAATTATTGAGTAGTTATACATTTACCTTTTTGTACAGTTTGATATATTATATTTTGGTTGCTTTACACGGTTTTATAAAGAGATAAAGCAACAAGGTTATTGTTTGTTTGATATTTGCTAAAATCACATTTAATCCATTGAACGCTTTTTTTAGTCTACTGGAAATCCGAAGTTCTACGATTATTAAAGAGTAAGAGTTTAAAAATGGTTACCATTGTCGATAATGATTATTCCTCCAAGTCGACCATTCCTGCAAACACCATTTTGAAGCCGTATCCGATGGATGACATTTTACAAGTTAACCAGTATGTGGAAAATACATCGACCACACAGAAATTGATAAATAACGACGATGTTGAGGATGTGCCTTTGCTTGTTTCCGACAGCGAAGACGTATCAGACGGAGAAGATTGCAGCACTCAGTCTGTGAATGGCCAGGAAAGCGACGTGAACGTGAAGGCTTCAATCGCGGCCGAACAGGTCAAACGAGACATGAAATTGCTGGTCCAAGAACTGGAAGTAAACAGCGAAAAGCAAGAGTTGACAAGAGAGCAGTTTAGAAACGAAAGGAATCAATTGATGACTATCGTTGTGAAGTATATTGCTACCAAGATTACCAACTCATTCCCACCCCAATCCCCACCAGTCTCAAATTCATCCGAGCTCCCGTTGGACAGGTTTTTGCTTATTTTAACGAATCGATTGCAATTATCGTTGCCTTTATTCATGAAGGGCATAATCTACTTGTTCCGATACATGGATATCATTTACTTGTTGAGGTACTTGAACCAGTCCAACAATTTTGCGAACTACAATGAGATGGATTTCTGTTTAAAAAAATTGATTGTCGGTTGCTTCAAGTTAGCCTTGTCAAGAGAAAAGATAACGAAGAACTGGTCGGCCATAAGTGGCATGTCTAATGGTGAGATTAACACCATTGTTAAGACTATAGTTACTAGAATGAATGGGAAATTGGTTGTGAAGAATATTGATTTGCTCAAATTAAAGCTGGAAATATTTCGTTTCGTTAAAATGGTCACACATCCTATTTAGTATTTATGCTCCGTTGTTTACTGTGTATTTTAAATTTGTAATTATATAGTTAAGAATATATTCTTTTAGTTTAATATTGCTTGCTTTTTTTTCATTCGCATGAGATTCGAAGCGCAGTAAATCTTTGATTTTTGATTATGACTCATCCAACTGGGGTCCAAATTATACTGATTAGAATAAATATAGCTCTAGATACTACAATACTACCTTTAACACGTAAGAAGTGAACGATATACAAGTAGAATTTTATGGACTATACTATGGTGGTCTTTTATGTAAGAAAATTGAAAAATTAGTGAAATAGGCTTCGGCATATGTAATTCTGACTCATATACTCCGATTAATTCTTACTCACTTTTTTTTTATTCTTTTGTTAGTCATAAAAAATTTTCAGCAATATATTACTAAAGTAAAAGTATCTAACACTTTATTCTTTATTCTTTTGTTAAATCAGAAACAAGCTCTAATCAAATTACTTCCATATTAAATAACAATGTCCATTCAATCGAATCCATATGGTCCAAATCCATCCGACTTCTTATCGAATGTTAACAAATTCGAAGTTATCGAATCTACTTTAAGAGAAGGTGAACAATTTGCCAACGCCTTCTTCAGTACCGAGAAGAAAATCGAAATTGCTAAGGCATTAGATGACTTCGGTGTTGACTATATTGAATTGACTTCCCCAGTTGCTTCTGAACAAAGTAGAAGTGATTGTGAAGCCATTTGTAAATTAGGTTTAAAAGCCAAGATTTTAACCCATATTAGATGTCATATGGACGATGCTAGAGTTGCCGTTGAAACTGGTGTTGACGGTGTTGATGTTGTTATTGGTACTTCCCAATTCTTAAGACAATACTCTCATGGTAAAGATATGAACTACATTGCTCAATCTGCCATTGAGGTGATTGAGTTCGTCAAATCTAAAGGTATTGAAATTAGATTTTCATCCGAAGATTCCTTCAGATCTGATATTGTTGATTTGTTAAACATCTATAGAACTGTTGATAAAATCGGTGTTAATAGAGTCGGTATTGCTGATACCGTTGGTTGTGCCAACCCAAGACAAGTTTACGAATTAGTTAAGACCTTGAAATCCGTTGTTTCATGTGATATTGAATGTCATTTCCACAACGATACTGGTTGTGCTATTGCTAACGCTTACACCGCTTTAGAAGCTGGTGCTAAGTTGATTGATGTTTCCGTCTTAGGTATTGGTGAAAGAAATGGTATTACTCCATTAGGTGCTTTAATGGCAAGAATGATCACTGCCGACAGAGACTACGTTTTATCCAAATATAAGTTACACAAATTAAGAGACTTAGAAAATTTGGTTGCCGATGCCGTTCAAGTCAACGTTCCTTTCAACAACCCAATCACTGGTTTCTGTGCCTTCACTCACAAGGCCGGTATCCACGCTAAGGCCATTTTAGCCAACCCATCTACATATGAAATTTTAAATCCTTCAGATTTCGGTTTGACTAGATACATTCATTTTGCTAACAGATTAACTGGTTGGAATGCAATCAAATCAAGAGTCGATCAATTGAACTTGCACTTAACTGATGACCAATGTAAAGAAGTCACCACTAAGATTAAGATAATGGGTGATGTTAGACAATTGAACATTGATGATGTTGATTCTATCATCAAAGATTTCCATGCTGATTTGTCTACTCCGTTATTAAAGCCACAAGATGAAGGTGACAAAGACGTTACTGAGGAACCAGTTTCAAAGAAGCAAAAGTCAGGTTAAGCTACTCATGATTTCCCTGACTAAAACTAGCATATTATTTGTCATTTGAAATAAATTGGTAGTTTCAATGTCAAATTCTTAGGGTCATGTCCAATATAGTGAATATATTGGTAATTTGAAAGGTTTTTATTGAAAATCATACAAATAGTGAAAAGTAAAGTATTTAGTTCTTCTTTTTTTACTTAAATTATTTTGAAATTATATTATACATTTATCTTATTACCGTTTATTGTATGTATGTTGTGTAGGTGAACAGTTTTTTTGCAATCAAAGATGACTCACGTGAGGTTATTCCGCTAATCGGATCAAAATTCGACGAAGTTTGATTAGAATCTTTCTATTTCTCCTGTTAGACCATTCTTTTGAAAGATAAACATAATTAACAATGGCTAAGAAGGGAGGCGAAAACACCAAGAAGGTCGCAGGAAATGCTAAAAAGGCCGAAAATATCAACAAAAAGAAGCAAGCTCAAGAAGCTGCATTAGAAGAGCAAGAAGCCGGTGAATGGGACCAAGGTTCCAAAAAGGCAAATAAGAAGAAGGAAGACGAAAAGTTTAAGAAGGAAGAAGCCGCTCGTAAGAAGAACGAAAGAGAAGCTTTATTAAAGGCAGAAGAAGCATCATTACCTGCTAAACCACTTTCTGCCAAACAAAGAGGTGCAGCCAAGGTTGCATCAAGAAGAACAGGTAAGATTGACGATTTCTTGAGCGACAACAAGGATACTCCAGAATTGAGTGCCAGTGGTATTGATGATGCCTTGTCAGCATTGGCTTTGACAGGCAGAGAGGGTGGTGTTCAAACTAAGGACATCGATAAGCACCCAGAGAGAAGAGTCAAGGCTGCCTACTCCGCCTACGAAGAAAAGAGACTTCCGGAAATGAGAAAAGAAGAGCCAGGTTTAAGGTTGCAACAAATGAAGAACTTGATCTTCAAGGAATTCCAAAAGTCTCCAGAAAACCCTATGAACCAAGACACCAACATCAAATACAACGCCACAAGAGACGAAATCGATCAATTGAAGACCAACGTCAAGAGCAAGAGAGAACAGAAGTTTGCCTAGGTCTTATACCCCATTCATCTCTTACAATACTAATATATAATGTCCAGTTTGGTGGATGGGCTTGTTACGTTACCCGGAGCATATGTTGTTATGTTACCCGGTTCTCGTTCCTGGCATGTCCTCCATTATATTGGCCAATGATCATTAATAATACACGATGCCATCAAATATATACACTTGTAGTCCATACTCTCGGTTCATCGATCTTGGAGAAACTCAAGCTGACATGACCAATGTAATATACGCGTGTTCACTGGTTCTGTTGCTATTCCAAGTTATAAAGGACTATAATTTGAATGCCATCTTGTTTATGTCTACATAGAGAAAAGACGCTAACCACACATACATAAAATATAGAATAGATCTAGCTTTACATGTAACGTAGGTAAGTTTGCTATATTTGTATTATGTATTGTTAAGCTGATTACCCATTGATATAGAATAAAAACCTCACGTCACACAAAATCGCATTCTTAAAAAAATTTGGCTTAAGCTGCAATGATATAAATACAACACGATATCGCTCAAAGCGATTGTTAAAAATGTAGTACCAGATTTGCAAAAAAATTTTAAATACTTAAATACAAGCATCGTAACCTTCGAAAGGATTGATATACTAAGTGATTACAAGTGATTATTCATTGAATTATTGAGAATAGTTTTTTCACCCTTCTTTTTCGATAATTAATAGGATATTACCAGATCATTGTCTATGGACTAGAAGCAAAGAAGCAAGTAGAGACATAAACAAAATAGTAAATAAAAAAGGGGAGAACCAATCACTAAACAAAGATGTCTCGGTTAGATAGATTAGTGGTATTATTGGAGACGGGGTCTACTCCGTTTATTCGAAATACTGCGGCGGATCAGCTATCAGACTTAGCTAAAGGACATCCGGAAGAGACGATCAATTTGCTTGGAAGAGTGTATCCGTACTTGAAATCGACCAAATGGGAGACTAGGGTTACAGCAGCAAGAGCGTTTGGGGGTATTGTTAATCATTCAGAGCTCTGGGACCCAAATAGCTCAGACACGATCAAAAAGGAGCATGAATTCGAAGAAAAGGAGGAAGCAATTGTTAAAATCGAAGAACTAGATGAGGCCAGTCGCATAAAATTGGAGCAGGACGAGGAATTGAAAAAGATAGATGATAATTTATCAAATTTGGTTGATTTCAGCTCGTGGAACCTTCATGAAATATTGAAAAGCAACGTCAAATTATTAGCATGTGGCACCGATGAATTCGAGCCTTCAAACGGAACGGAGCACCATTCTGATGATAGCTCGACATTCATTGGTAAGTTAAAGAAACAGAAAAGTAATATAACACCTCTCGAGGAAACCGAGGTAAAGCCTGATCCAGAAGTAAAATCTGAACATGTCGAAGCCGTAAGTGTCTCGAATGAGAACTCAGACTCGAACTCACCACGCCCGGACGCGTCAAGAACGGCTTCTAATGCGAGATTGAAGGCCATGCAAAAGAGAAGAGCTAAAGTAAATGCAAAATCCAGTGCTATTAGGGTCAAACCTGTGGATATTTCGCAAAGTTCTATCTCAAGGAAATTAGTGGAAAATGGTGAAGGTACAGACGAAATCAACGAAGATTCTGCCCAGTACGACATTACATCTCAGCAAGGAGGTGAGAAATTAGTATTTGAAACGAAGGCTCCAGAATTATCTCCTTTGTTATCTCAGCATTCTAAGGTTGCCGGCTTGGTGTGGCAATTTCAAGGAGTTTATGAATTATTGGTAGCCGATTTATTTGATGAAAAGTGGGAAATAAGACATGGGTCTGCATTAGGTTTGCGTGAGTTAATTAGGAAACATGGGAAGGGTGCGGGACGAGTAATGAATAAGTCAAGGGAAGATAATGACCGCAATAATTCTGCTACATTGGAAGATTTGGCTGTAAGATTATGTACATTGTTTGCCCTTGATAGATTTGGTGATTATGTTTCCGATACGGTTGTTGCGCCTGTCAGAGAGTCGAGTGCACAAACCTTAGCAGCGTTATTGATCCATTTGGATGATCAAGTTGTACTCAGAACTTTTGATAGCTTGAATAAATTGGTATTACAAGAACACGCTAATGATCTAGGGGTCCCCAAATGTTGGGAAGCAAAGCATGGAGGTATGTTAGGTGTAAGGTATTTTGTTAGTGTAAGAACTGACGTTTTATTATCGAGACCAGAGTCCTTAGATACAGTTGTAAATATGGTATTGCATGGGCTACAAGAAAGTGATGATGATGTTCAGTCGGTTGCTGCTTTGACATTAACTCCAATTGCATCAGAATTTGTCAAAACCAAGCAAGAGTTAATTCATACTTTATTGAGTGTTATATGGGACTGTTTGACAAACTTACGAGATGACTTATCGGCATCTATTGGATCTGTGATGGATTTATTGGCGAAGTTATGTACTCACAAGGAAGTCATTGCAATCATGCAAAAGGATGCTATAGAGAGTAATTCAAACTCATTTGAGTATTTGGTTCCGAGATTGTTTCCTTTTTTTAGACATTCTATTACGAATGTCAGAAAGGCAGTATTAAGAACAATTCTTGAATTTTTATCTATTGATAGCGATGTCACTAAAAAATGGATTAATTCAAAAACTCTAAGACTAATATTTCAAAACTTATTAGTTGAACAAAACAAGGATGTTTTAGAACTTTCTGTATTAGTTTACAACAAATTATTAAAGGAAATTGACCAAAATAATGAATTAGAGTCCATGGAGACAATATTCGGTTGTCATTTTCAGCCTCTACTTACATTACTCATGACTCCAATTGGAATTGCAAGACACAACTATCATATGAATACAAATTTGATAATGAGGCCTTCTGGACATATTCTTGGATCACTTGAAGATGGATCAGCGGTATCAACCCCGATTGAAGATGATACTAATCTTGATCCATTAGAGCCGAATGGTATTGAAAAACGTGGTAGGAAGAGAAAGTCTCCTAACGAACCAAAAGTAAAATCTGATTTCCCATTCCACGAAGATTTGAAAGTGAATATAGATGCACCAATATTCAAAGGTGATGTTATGTTAGTTGGCTTTGAGACTTTCATAAGAACTAGAAGCGAGGCTGCAACTGCCTACGGTAATTCGTTGGCGTATATTACTAATGAAGAAACATTACAGAATATCTTCCAATTATTGTTACATTATTTAAGCTCACCCCATGCCACTCCTCGCTTATTTAGTGCTCTAGTTATACAAGAGTTTGCAAATTCTTTGAAGTCCAGGGGCATGTCACCTCCAGAAACAACTATAGCGTTATTCCAGGAGTCATTAATGAATGTATTGTCTAATCCTGATAATTCCACATTACCATATTATCGTGAGTTGGTTCCTACGTTGAAGTCAGTGAGAACATCCTGCTTGCAAATGTTTGATGCCTTTATAACAAGTGCTAAAGTATCCCCAACAAAGATTCCACAATTACCAGTAGTAGTTCAGGGTGAGAATGAAGCTGGCCCAGGAGCATTTGGGCTTGAATTTGCTGAAAAGATTGTTATTGAAACTTACCAGAAATTAATGAAGAATTTATCACCAACGTATAGAATGAGTGCCAATCAAACGCTCGAAGATGCCAAGCACCGTATCACCGTGGCCATACAAGAGGCCAATACTGCACGCACTCACAGAACGACAGGAATATTATCTGTCTATGCTGCTGCTGTACTTGCGTTAAATGGTATTCCAAAGAAATTGAATCCAATCATCAGATCGCTTATGGATAGTGTTAAACAAGAGGAGTCGGGTATTTTACAACAGAGATCTGCTATTGCCGTAGCACATTTAATCAAAGAGTTAAATATTGTTGGTAAAAAGGGAGCAGCGGATAAGATTGTAAAAAATTTGTGTGCTTTCCTATGTGTGGATACTTCTGAAGTTCCTGAGTTTTATCACAATATTAAATTCAAGGATAATATTTTATCTTTGAGAAAAGAAGAAGCTAAAACAGATCCAGCCGATATTGCGGCGCATGAACGCGCTATACATGAAGCTAGAATCAAACGTAATGGTGCGCTTATGACATTGGAGGCATTACTTCATATTTATAAATCGAGCTTATTTGAAGAAGTATCGAAATTAAAAGAATTAATGCTTGAACCTTTGAATTTATTGAAGATTTCTTCGACAAATGAAGTAATAGAAGATGTATTAAAAGGACAGAGCATTATCGATGCTTTAGGGGTATTACGTGCGTTGCTTCCGAAATTAGATAGTTCATTATACCCTGAAATTATTGAGAGGTTGCCGTTATTAATACCTGGCTTGAGCTCTGATTTTTCTGTGTTCCGTTATTCGACTGCAAAATGTTTTGCGACTATTTCTTCAATTTGCCCTACAAAAGCGTTTACATTTTTAGTTAAGTCAATCTTACCGATGTTGAATAATGCTGGGGAGGTTAAGGAAAGACAAGGTGCAATTGAAAGTATTTATCATCTTTCTAGTACTATGGGGTCTGATATATTACCGTATATCGTCTTCTTAATCGTTCCAGTACTAGGAAGAATGAGTGATGCTGATCAAGATGTTCGTATTTTAGCAACTACTACTTTCGCTTCCATAATTAAATTGGTTCCCTTAGAAGCTGGTATTCCTGATCCTGCTGATATGCCTCAGGAATTATTAGAAGGCAGGGATAGAGAAAGAGATTTCATTCAGCAAATGATGGACCCTACCAAGGTCAAGCCTTTCGACTTGCCTGTAAGTATTAAAGCAACTTTGCGTAAATACCAACAGGAAGGTGTAAATTGGTTAGCATTTTTGAACAAATACCATTTACATGGTATTTTGTGTGATGATATGGGTCTTGGTAAAACTTTGCAGACTATTTGTATAGTTGCTTCAGACCATTACATGAGAGCTGAAAGCTTTAAGGAGACGCAATCGGTTGAATTTAGACGTCTTCCTTCGATCATAATCTGTCCTCCTTCATTAACTGGACATTGGGAACAAGAGTATAATCAGTATGCACCATTGTTAAAAGTAATAGTATACGCGGGAGCACCTTCGATTAGAACGGCAATAAGGTCACAAATACCTGATGCAGATATTGTTGTTACATCCTACGATGTTTGTCGTAACGATGTTGAATTTTTAGCGAATCATGATTTCAATTATTGTGTTTTAGATGAAGGGCATATCATCAAGAATGCTGCTTCTAAGTTAACTAGATCCGTTAAGAGAATAAGAGGTGAACATAGGTTAATATTATCAGGTACACCAATTCAAAACAATGTTTTAGAATTATGGTCATTATTTGACTTTTTGATGCCTGGGTTCTTAGGTACTGAAAAGGTCTTTCATGAAAAGTTCGCTAAACCAATTGCAACAAGTAGAAGCAGTAAAACATCATCCAAAGAACAAGAAGCAGGTGCTTTGGCATTGGAGTCGTTACATAAGCAGGTGTTACCCTTCATGTTACGTCGTCTTAAAGAAGATGTGCTTTCTGATTTACCACCAAAGATTATTCAAGATTATTATTGTGAATTGAGTGATTTACAAAAGCAATTATATAAAGACTTCGCTAAAAAGCAAAAGTCTACAGTTGTGGATGAAGTTCAAAGTGAGGGTGACGAAGCAAAAGAAGGCAAAACTCATGTTTTCCAGGCTTTACAATATATGAGAAAATTGTGTAATCATCCCGCTTTAGTTCTTTCTCCTGATCACCCTAAATTTACGGAAGTCAGCACCTACTTACAGTCCCATAAATCTGATATTAGAAGCATTGAGCATTCACCGAAATTGATGTCTTTGAAAAATCTATTATTAGAATGTGGTATTGGTGTTAACGACAACGATTATTTGTCTGCAAATTATAAACAAAAGCAAAAACAGCAACAAATGATTACATCCGAAGGTGTTATTTCGGAACATCGAGCATTAATTTTCTGCCAATTGAAGGATATGTTGGATATAGTTGAAAATGAACTTTTGAAGAAATACTTACCTTCAGTCACATACACAAGATTAGATGGTAGTACCGACCCAAGAGATAGACAATCAATCGTCCGTAAATTCAACGAAGATCCATCCATCGATGTTTTACTTTTAACCACTAAAGTTGGTGGGTTAGGACTTAATTTAACTGGTGCAGATACTGTCATTTTCGTTGAACATGATTGGAATCCAATGAATGATTTGCAAGCTATGGATAGAGCCCATAGATTAGGACAGAAGAAGGTTGTTAACGTTTATAGATTAATCACGAAGAATACGTTAGAAGAAAAAATTATGGGTTTGCAAAAATTCAAAATGAATATTGCTTCTACAATCGTTAATCAACAAAATTCTGGCTTAGCATCGATGGATACTAATCAATTGTTAGACCTTTTTGATGTTGACGAGAATGCTGCAAAATTAGTCGAAAACGGTGAAAATAATACTGACAAAAAGGAAGGAAATGTTCCTGAAGATGTCGCTGGTGGTCTTACTGGTAAAGCGGCAGGAGCTGTCGGAGAATTGGCTGACTTATGGGACGAATCTCAATATGAAGATGAATATAATCTTGACAACTTTATTAAAACTCTTAAATAATAAACTATCTGTTTATTGTGTACCATAGTGTTTATATAGGATAAAATATATTAGAAGTAATACTTAATACTTTCCCTTGTTTGTACAGCGAAGAATAACATTGCGCCGCACAGTCNTTTTNNGGTTTTTTTTTTTTTTTTTTTTTTTTTNNTNTTTNTNTTTTNACTGAAAATTATCTACATGGATAGGACATAAATAAAATACTATCCACAATAAAAAGAACATTGAAATACTAGAACCGTGAGGTATTTTAAAGTTTCAATATGGGAAGTTCCAGAAATGAAAAGTTACATAATTTAGAGGAAGATGCAAAATCATCATTTCCATATCTTGCTTCCGATGAGAAGTCTTCTACTATAAGAAACCCCGAAAAACTAGAATATACTAAAGGCACAAATGAACCTAAATCACAGACTAAACCATGGGTTCATTTTGTAGCGGGTGGAATAGGTGGTATGGTTGGAGCGGTAGCCACTTGTCCATTAGACGTTGTTAAAACAAGGTTACAATCTGACGTCTATCATTCCACATATAATAAAACTCCGAAATCTTCGAATCCAGTCATTAAAGCAGCACAGCATTTCAAAGAAACTGGTACTGTTATTAGAGGTTTGTATGCCAATGAAGGTACTAGAGCATTATTCAAAGGGTTGGGACCAAATTTGGTAGGTGTAATTCCTGCGAGATCTATAAATTTCTTCACGTACGGTGCCACGAAGGATTTCATTTCTTCTAATTTCAACAACGGTCAAGAAGAGACTTGGATCCATTTGGTGTCTGGTATCAATGCAGGGTTTGTAACTTCTACCGCCACGAACCCCATTTGGTTAATTAAAACAAGATTGCAGTTAGACAAGACTAAAGGGAAGCACTATAAAAATTCATGGGATTGCTTCAAGAATGTGATAAGACATGAGGGTATTAAAGGCCTTTATAAAGGTTTAAGTGCATCTTACTTAGGTGGTGTTGAATCTACATTACAATGGGTTCTCTATGAAGAGATGAAATCTATTATCAATAAACGTTCTATTGAGGCCCATGGATTAAGGGCTGAGAATAAAACTACAAAAGATTATGTTTTGGAATGGTCAGCAAGATCAGGTGCAGCCGGCGCTGCAAAGTTTATTGCATCGTTGATAACATATCCACATGAGGTTGTTAGAACTCGTTTGAGACAGGCTCCATTAGAATCTACTGGTAAACCGAAATATACAGGCTTGATACAATGTTTCAAATTAGTTATTAAGGAAGAAGGTCTTGCAAGTATATATGGTGGTTTGACACCTCATTTATTGAGAACCGTTCCTAATTCTATAATTATGTTTGGTACTTGGGAAATTGTCGTGAGATTGTTATCCTAATTAATCATTTATTAGAACATATTTCTTGTACATATCTTGACATGTTTTTTTCGAAACATCCTTGTCTATAAATATTACCCTTCTGTATATATGTATAATACACCCTGAATGAAGTATGCATAAATAACTCGTGTGCTGTAGTTTGTAAATGTGTTAATTGATTCTACTTCTTTTCGAAGGAAGTTTTCCTATCGCTATCAAATATTCTTCTTCTTCTGGCGCAAAATCATTCTCATTATCGTATTCATCGTCTCTATTGTTATTGTGAGACTGTTTCTTGTTTGGTTTCTTTAGAAGAGCAGATGGAACGAGCATATTTACACCTTTTTCAGACGACAGTATAACTTCACCAGCATTTGGAACACTCGTTGTATTGGAAGATGGAACACTACTGGTCGTGTTATTTCGTTGAGTATTTTGAACCATCTTATAGAATTTTGGAGGCTCCCCTTCGGGTAAAACAAGTTCTAAACTATCAATTAGCGGATCCTTCGCATACTTTTTATACACATGCGATTTTAAAGGCTTTGTATAGTTTGGTAACTGAAATCTAGGCTTTTCCAGTAAGTTTTCTCCCGGAACTTTGCCAAGTGGATTCAATTCGGGGTTAAAGTATATCGATTTCAGCCCCCATAGCTTGCTATTAGCTTTCACTTTGGCCTTTTCTTCTTGTTCTTTCTGAATTAAAAAGGACTCAACCTTTGCTTTGTGTAAACCGTTCTTCTTTATAAATTCCCAATCGTCTTTAAGGTTTTTCAAATACAACAAATCCCTTTCTGTCTTATCATTATTCAGCTCTAGTCTTTCAATTTGTCTGAATATTCGTATTGGGTCTGCAGCAGATAGCTTCTCTATTTTAAACTGACGCTTTTGTCGTTGTTGAACTTTACTTTGTTGTTTCCTCTCCTTGTCCTTTAGTTCACTAGCTAAACTATAGTTTTGCCTTATCATTGTTCTGGTTGTAATACTTTTCACTGTGTATGCTCTTTTCATTAAGTTTACTATTTTTGTGTAATAGTCATTTTGAACTTATTTTCTCTAAAGAACTATTGCAAGAAATACTTCAAGACCAGGTATTCGACGATGAATTCAATACATTCTGCCAATAGTAATGCAGCAATGACATCTGAGATAAATACATCGCAAATACCAACAGATTCTTTGGAATCGATACGGAATCGCCTAAATCAAGTACATTTATCACTCCGTAAACTATCAGACCAAATCAATCATCATAATCGTCACCCCAATAAGGTAAAACTTCCAAATTATGCCCAGTTCCAGAACCAATTTCAAGTATTGTTAACCCAGTTGCATACAATAACATCGGATTTAGAGAATAATGATGAATTGTTGAAAAATACAAATGTATACCCATTACCATCGTTTCCAACTACACAACAAGAAGGTTTAATAACGACATTATTAAGGAAAAAGCCTTTACCTGAAGTTGACGAATGGATAGAAAGTGCTATAGATAAAAGAAAAAATGAATATGTGAATATACAGAAGGATGATGAATTTGCACAGTGGTGTTTAACCAGAATTGAAGAATTGAGAGAAGACTTTCAGTTTTATGGGTTTAACTCGATAGAAGAATTGGAATACTTGGATTCTGAAGAAGGGAAAAAAGTTACTGAAGAAAATAAGAAGATAGAGAACCAAATCTACGAAGAGGAGCTAAAGATAACCGATGGAGGTAAGAGTGGCCTTCATCCAAATAAAGTTTTAAAGTTTATGTGTCAAGGAGTACTAACATAAATTATTAATATTCATTCCTGGAGGTATAGACTTTTCCTATATATATGACATATTGATCTATAGCGTAATTTATTATTATACAATGAAAGTCTTACGCTTCAGTATTATAAAGCGCATCGTAAAAGTATAAGATAGCAAAAACAAAGAATGCAATGGCTCCTCCTAACGTAACATTTCTCATTGAAATCCTTGTTGCTAATAACTTTCCACCAACACATGCTGCAGCAGTACAAACACCATGACCGATAATGGCACCTAAAATAACATACCAGTAATCAGAACCGGCTGCCATAGCTATAGTAGCGATTTGTGATCTATCACCCCATTCGCCTAAGAATGTCATCACAAATACCTGAATCCAAACTGGTGATAATACAAATGAGGCCAAATTTCTGATTTGGTCACCAAATTCAACGTACCACTTTTTATTTTGGCTCTTAGCTGTAAACTTATTGGAAGAGCCACCTTCCATATTTTCCATTTCGTTATTCAAATTGTTCGATGCAATTTCTTCTTCAACTTCCGCCAACTCTTCCTCGACACCTAGCTCCTTCGACATCTCCAAGCCTTCCTTAAGCAACTTAAGCCCAAATACAATAAATAATATGGACGCTAAAAATTGAGTGAGTCTTTGGGAAATTAACGCTGGCAATGCATGGCCCACTATACCTGACAATACAGTCATAACGGCCAAGGACGAAAAGGCTGCTGAGAAAACAATGAATCTTGAATTTCTCATTGCCATCAAAGCAGCAATTAAAAACGTTTTGTCACCAATCTCAGACACTATAATCATCGAAATGGACATCAAAAATGAATTGTACGATGGATTCTCTTCCCCAGTTCCCTCTTGTTCTCCCCCAACTGGTGGATCTAACGGCCTCTTAGCATCTATTGGCGTAGGGTTATTATCATATTCTTCAATCTCTTTCACTCCGATGTTTGCTGCTCCCTTCCCACTGTTCATGTCGAGATTAGAAATTTCAAGATCACTACTCTTTTCCAACCCTGCGGCACTTCCTTGACTTCCTCCGTTATCTAAGGACACGGTAGTCCCTAACAATATAGATGATAATATTATTAATTGACCCAATTTCATTTTAGATATACTTTACTAGACAAAGACTGATAATATACAAAATATCTCGAGATGATTCAACTGTCCTTGTTTTTCAATCAGCCAATGCTGTCTTATGTATTGATCAGATTCTTTTAGTTTAAAAAACAACTCCGATGAAAATTTTATGTAGACACAAACTCCGACTCACCGATCCGCGATTCATCTCAGGCACTACAGGACAATTCTATATCAATATTGAATTAGGAATATAAACTTATAAATACTAAAGAATAAGTAATATATGATATATAACAGTTAGAGATAATATAAGAATAATAATAGTAGTGGTTGGAATTATGTATATATTTATAATAAAAAAAATGCAGTGAACCTCATGACATTTTAGACTATATGGCTCATGAATAATTAAAAAAAATCTTCTTAGTAGCTTTTTAGTCTAGTGATGAGCAGATGGCAATGGATTGTCAATGACTTTACCTTCTTTGACTTTACCACCTTTAACCCATCCACCGTAGTTGACTGAGTGCTGGCTTTCTTGTTCGTATTGTTTGATTCTGTCAACCATGAGAGGTCTGAAAGACTTGATCAAACCTTGGATTGGCCATGCGGCGGCATCACCTAAGGCACAAATGGTGTGACCTTCAATTTCCTTAGTTAATTCGAAAATCATGTCAATTTCCTTTTCAGTGGCTTGCCCCTTGACAAATCTATCCATCATCTTTTGTAACCAGGAAGTACCTTCACGACATGGAGTACATTGACCACATGATTCGTGCTTATAGAAGGCAGTGAACCTTTGAATGGCTCTGATCATATCGGTTTCTTTGTTCATAACAATGACAGCAGCAGTACCTAAACCGGAACCAGCATCTCTTAACGCATCATAATCCATAGCAATATCATCACAAACAGATTTTGGCATAACTGGAACGGAACAACCACCTGGAATAACACCTAATAAGTTGTCCCAGCCACCTTTGACACCACCGCAGTGCTTTTCTAATAACTCTTTTAATGGAATGGACATTTCTTCTTCAACAGTACATGGTTCATTGACATGACCAGATATACAGAATAATTTGGTACCGCTGTTGTTCTTACGACCAAAAGAAGCAAACCAGTCACCACCTCTTCTTAAAATGGTTGGAGCAACAGCAACAGTTTCAACGTTGGTAACAGTCGATGGTCTACCGAATAAACCGACACCTGCTGGAAATGGTGGCTTCAATCTTGGCTTACCGGCCTTACCTTCAAGAGATTCAATCAATGCGGTTTCTTCACCACAAATATAAGCACCCATACCACGGTGGACGTACACATCGAAGTCGTAGCCGGAACCACATGCGTTTTTACCGATTAATCCTTCTTTATATGCTTCGTTGATAGCTTGTTGTAAAATAACAGTTTCGTTATAAAATTCACCTCTAATATAAATATAAGCAGCAGTGGCATTCATAGCACGTCCAGCTAATAAACACCCTTCAACTAACTTGTGTGGATCCTTTCTAATAATTTCTCTATCTTTACAAGTACCTGGTTCACCTTCATCTGCATTGACAACCAAGTATCTTGGGCCTGGATTCTTTTCCCATCCTGGAGGGTTCATGAACGACCATTTAAGACCAGAAGGGAATCCAGCACCTCCTCTACCTCTTAAACCTGATTTTTTCATTTCGTCAATAATCCACTTGTCCCCTTTCAAGATAATTTCTTTGGTCTTATACCAGTCACCCATCTTCTGGGCTGACTTTAAGTCATGTCCGTACTTACTGTAAACATTTTGGAAAATACGATCTTGATCTTTTAATCCACCATGAACTCTATTTGGATTGGCTGCATCTGCAATAGTAGCCAACCCACGTCTTAAAGAACGCTGTTGTGTCTTTAAGTTATGAATCATCCTAGCAATGAATTGGATATTGGACGTTGTACTCAATCTATTATCCTAAATATAATATTATAACGTTCTTACTGAATTTTTTGTTGTAGCCATTTATTTTTGTGCTGTTTTGGTAATTGGATTTCCAGCTTTTTCATTGGGTAAATTATTTTTCACGTGATTTTTTCAACCACTAGGCGTATACCAGTTCTATACATTTTCATCCGTTATAACTTTAGCCATCTCGACTAGGAATTCTTCTATTGCCAAGCGAAATCTGTGGGAATCGTAGTTGGCATATGTATGCCGCAACATTTGTATTAGAGTAGTCATTGGTAGGCGACTAACATATCGGCCGGTAATTTGCTTATTCTAGAAATGATCATTGGTTAGTTTTGTGCACTTCTCATGGATGCAAAATGGTATACTTACTGAGCAGTAGGCTGTAATCTGGTACAACAACCTGGAGGAATACTGGGATAGCGATGAGCGGGACAAAGTGGTTTTTGTACATGATATTGAATTGGGTCCGCTGTTTTGATAGAGAATACCTAGGTCTAGGAAATGAATGATCTGTTGTTCGAGTATGCTGTAGATGGTTTCTTCGTTAGGCAAAGGGAGTTCGTATAATGCATTTGCTCGATCCTTGAATGATCTGTCCACTGATTCTATGAGATTAGATGTTCCTATCATGAAGAAATTCTTGTATTGTCTTAATTTATCCAAATGGGTGAGTAGAATATTGACCATGCGTACACCATCTGTTGTTTCGTTATTGGCTAAAAGTATGGACCGTTCGGTAGCAAGGGATTCAATTTCGTCAATTATCATAAACATAAATCCGCCATGCATTTCTTTCTTCAAAGTGGCTTCGATGGTAGAAAACAACATGGATAGCTTCTTCGGAGACTCGCCATAATAACGAGAATATATCCTATCGGGTGCTAATTCCAATAAAAGTATAGGTGGTAGGTTGATTGGCTCCATCATTGAACTGATAGCTTTAACCGAAAATTTTTGAAATAAGGCTCTAGCTAATGAAGACTTGCCCGTCCCGGGTGGTCCATGTAACAAGATAAGTTTGTCCAGAGCTGTTAAGAGTTCGCCAGCAAAATAGTTCTCGTGTTCGAACATATTTGATAGGGTCAACAGTACTTGAATATTGGAATAAATACTTTGCTTCAAGTTACCCTTCATCTTCAATTTCTCCCATGAGCCTATTAGATTTTTGTCAGGCAAGGGAGTAATTGTTACAAACTCTGAAGCTCTCATTGAAATAGTATCCATTGGAATAGATTTATTTAATTCTAACAAAGCATTTGCCAATTTGGGTTGGAATATTTTAGAGTAATTAAAGGACATGTTATTCGTTTGTTCAGTCTCCTCTTCTTCATTTAAACTCAGATCTTCATAGATCTTTCTTGTATTATGTCTTCCAGTGCCTTTTTTCTCGAAACATGTATTTCTAAATTGGCATTCAATGTCAATGATTTCTTTGTCTTCGATATAATCATTATAAAGGTTGATTATATCCCAAACACTATTCAACTGTTTATTTTCTAACTCATTTACTTGCTCCCCTGGACACAGGTAGAATAGATAAGTGGTATTCACTGAATCGGTTAGCAAGCATGTTTGACTTACAGAATTTATCTTGTCAACGAAAGAGCACTCCTTTCCTACGCCATTTCTGTCCCCTTTGGTTTCAGTACTTTGGGGCTTTAGCAGTTTAAAATTCATGCTTGATTTTTGCTGGTGGAGAAACGGCGGCACCAGGAAATACACTTTTTCTTTGGTATCAGTATGAGGCCCTTTGAAGAGTATATCTTTGATACTACTTGAATAATCTTTCCCCATATGTCTGTCGTAGGATTTTGCTTGTATATTGCTACCTATGCTTATCTCTTTAAAACATCCTTCAGCTATTATCCTATTTTGAAACGAGTCGAACTGACTATTTTTATCCAATGTATACAATAAGAGACAAGCTCCTTTTTCGGAACTTATTTCCTTTTCTTTAAGGAAATCCATATTAAAATACCTTTGAAATGTTTTTCCATTGATCTTTGTAGGTCTGATATTGAGATTGATATTTAATTGTACGTCAATTGCTTTTTCAAGGTAGAATGTTAAGGATATGTTTAATTGTTGGATAATTTTAGCGAAGTCAACACCTGTTGCATTTTCTTCATACGCTCTAGTATTAAAGTTATAAAAAGGAAGAAGTGTCACCCAAGATCTCAAACACACTTCTATCTCAAGATTTTTAGTTGAATTCATCTTCTTAATCTTACTCTACTTTGTTATTATGAAGTGAATTATATTGTTGCAAAAATTTAATTCTCATCATATTTGGTAACTGCAATTATCCAAATAAATAGACTATATAGAATAAAGAAAGAATATTATATTCCCCAGTATAGTACTTGAAAATATATATGCATAAGATGGAATGGTTATCTGGTTACTAAATAAAAATAAAAAGATCTTCCTTTATTTTACTAGAGATTTCAAAAAATACTACAATTTTTAAAAATGACTGGTTTAAAAATTCATGATGAATAAAAAACAGTATTAATATTGGTCTTAATGACAAAGAAATTAAGAACGTACAACATGACCTATAACGTATAAATATATATGATATATTAAGATAAAATTTGACGTATACTATGGCTGTGAAACATTTCGGACATCGCTCGAACCGAATTTGAGATAAATTTTCGAATATGATAAGAATAATTCATACCTTAATGGATTAAGTTTATAATGTACAATCGATATTACCTAATACCTATTCTAGTTTGTCTATGGGAAATATACTACAGTATTATAACAGATTATATATCTTATAATAGTCATGCATACACGTTTCACAATGAAGATTTGAATGAAATTTTCAATCCCAGTAAGCCTTCGTGGAATATTTCATTTCCTTGGATTGACAGGCTTCCAAGTTTTTCAGATCCTAATATTAAAACCGTAATTCAAAAGAAGGGATCGCATAAATTATCTTCGAATTCATATTTACCTAATGATTTTCCATATAGAGAAAGGAGTCAAATAGGCCAAGAAAATGCTACGATGGTGATGTTGGTACGAAATCGGGAATTGAGAGGTGCATTGCAATCAATTAGGTCGTTGGAAGATAGATTCAACAGGAATTATAGATATCCATGGGTATTTTTAAATGATGAGCCTTTTGACACCGATTTCATAGAACAAACTACATTAATGGCTAGCGGAAAAACATATTATGAATTGATACCGAGTGTGGACTGGCAACCGCCTTCATTTATCGATATGGATTTAATGGAAAAGAAACTAATGAAAGCACATGAAGATGGCGTTATCTATGGTGGATCATGGTCCTACAGGAACATGTGTCACTTTAACTCGGGATTTTTTTATAAACAAAAGAGATTACTTGATTATGAATGGTATTTCAGGGTAGAGCCTGACGTCAAATACATGTGTGATTTTCAATATGACCCCTTTACGGTGTTGAGAGAAAATAATAAAATATATGGGTTTGTTCTAACTATTCACGACTACGAAAATACAATGCCATCGTTGTGGCCTACCGTCGAGAACTTCATGAAGGACCACAAAGAATTAATCCATCCTAACAATTCCATAGACTTCATCACGTCTAATGAAACTTCCTTGAACTACGACTACAAGTTACCCGAATCAAATACCTCATATAACCTTTGCCATTTTTGGTCTAACTTTGAAATTGGCAACTTAAACTTCTTCAGAAGCGAAGCCTATGAGACATTCTTCAATTATTTGGATAAAACGGGTGGCTTTTTCTACGAAAGATGGGGCGATGCTCCGGTTCATTCTATAGGGCTAAACTTGTTAGCCGACAAAAACAGAATACACCACTTTGAAGATATAGGATATTTTCATGTACCATATCTAGCATGTCCTACATCAATTGACGTACTTGCATCAAAAAGATGTGTATGTAAGACTAAAGACCTTGAAGATCATGATCCTGAGATACCACATGACATCCAGCCTTTCAGTTGTTTAAGCAGATGGTGGAGATATGGCTCTGGTAAAAGATTCTTAAACGATATCGATTATACATTCAACAATTAACTGCTTATCTATAATAGTATATATTGTATATAGATCTAATCTAATACTAGCTAAGTCAAGCAGTCGTGTATGAACAAGCATATTTGAATTTTTCATTTTGCATCAACCCCATCGCGAATATATAAATTTTTCTAGTACATAAAATTATTCACTATATTGAACTTAGAGATAACGTTAATTAAATATGGCTAAGGGAGGTATATTAAGGTCTCTGTTAAAGAACCAACAATTGATTGAATCAATAGACAAATCAAAATCAAAGCCTGTAGTCAAAAAGGCAGAAGAAATAAAGGAAATTGAAGTCCAGCCATCACCTGAGCAAATCAAGTCATCGAAGCCAAAGAAGGAAAAGAAGGAAAAGAAAGCTAAGATCCAAGATGATTACCAAAGTGGTGTTTTATCCAAGAAAGAACAAAGAAGATTGAAGAAGTTGCAAGCTGACGAAAGTGCACCTTTAGTAGTAGAAGAGGAAATCGAGGAAGAACTTGAAGAAGACTCTGACTCTGAAGGATTAGACTTAGAAAAGTTAGCTGCAAGTGAAAGTGAGAGTGATATAAACGACGATGACTCTGATGAAGAATCTGATGAAGAAGAAGAGGAGGCAGATGAAGATGAAAAAGATGACGAAGAGGAAGAGGAAGAGGAAGATATTCCTTTATCGGATGTTGACATAGATGAGGATGCGGATATTGTTCCACACACCAAATTAACTATAAATAACATGGCTGCATTGAAAGATTCGTTAGCACGTATTGAGTTGCCTTGGTCTAAGCATTCATTCCAAGAACATCAATCCATCACAAGTGCGGAAAAAACTGAAACCGAAATCAAGGACATTTATGATGATACTGAAAGAGAATTGGCATTTTATAAGCAAGGCTTAGATGCTGTTAAACAAGGTAGAGCTGCATTAACTAAATTAAAGGTACCATTCTCCAGACCAATGGATTACTTTGCGGAAATGATTAAAAGCGATGAGCATATGGACAAATTGAAGAGCAAGTTATTAACTGAAGCGGCCAACAAGAAAGCATCAGAAGATGCTAAGAAACAAAGACATTTGAAGAAGTTTGGTAAGCAAGTTCAAAACTCTACATTACAAGAAAGAGCTAAACAAAAGAGAGAGACATTAGATAAGATTAAATCATTAAAGAGAAAGGGTGCTAATAATGAATTAAGTAATGGTGACGATTTCCAGATTGCCTTAGACGAAGCAACTAGTGAAGACAGAGGCGGTGATAATAAGAGAAGAAAACCAAATTCGAAGAGATTAAGCAAAGACTCTAAGTATGGTTTTGGTGGTAAGAAGAGAGGTACAAGGGCTAACGATGCAGAATCTTCTGCTGATATCAGCGGTTTTTCTTCTAAGAAGATGAAAGGAAAATCCAGACCAGGAAAGAGCAAGCGTTCTAGAAATTAAACTCTTAGCTAATATGTATTTATAGATATATCATTTGTTCGTTTAATATTATAACTGTAAGAAAATAGCTCTCTCGTTCCCGCGATTATTCGCGTGTAGACTCGCTGAAAAAAAAAATTCGTATACGATAAAGTGTTTATTTTCTTTTGGCCTTCCCTTCGAGTACGATATCTACGATTATACCATAATGAACAAGGCTGCAGCTAAGGAAAGGTTTATTAATGAATTTGACCAATTGGTCGAAGAGTTGAAGGCCATTTTAATCGGGTATAAAATGCCACAAGATGCTATTGACTGGTTTGTTGGTAACTTGAATTATAATACGCCGGGTGGTAAGTTGAACAGAGGTTTGTCAGTAATCGACACTTATTGTATTTTAAACAACACCACTGCCAACGATTTGTCTTCGGAAGAATATTCTAAGGTTGCCATATTAGGATGGTGTATCGAATTATTACAAGCTTACTTCTTAGTTGCCGATGATATGATGGATCATTCTAAAACAAGAAGAGGTCAACCTTGTTGGTACTTAAAAGAAGGTGTTGGTAATATTGCGATTAATGACTCCTTCATGTTGGAAGGTGCTCTTTACATTTTGTTAAAGAAGCACTTCCGTAATGAGAAATACTACGTCGATTTATTGGATTTATTCCACGAAGTTACATTCCAAACAGAATTAGGTCAATTAATAGATTTGATCACTGCTGATGAAGAAATTGTCGACCTTGATAAGTTCTCATTATCAAAGCATTCATTTATCGTTATTTACAAGACCGCCTACTATTCATTTTACTTACCTGTCGCATTAGCGATGTTCATGAGTGGAATCAACAGTGAACAAGATTTAAAGCAAGTTCGCGATGTATTGATCCCATTGGGTGAATACTTCCAAATTCAAGATGATTTCTTGGATTGCTTTGGTACTCCAGAGCAAATCGGTAAAATTGGTACTGATATTAAAGACAACAAGTGCTCGTGGGTTGTCAACCAAGCTTTATTACATGCCAACGAAGAACAACGTAAGTTGTTAGACGAAAACTACGGTAAGAAAGATGACGAATCTGAAAAAAGATGTAAACAATTATTCAAAGACTTGAACATCGAAAAGATCTATTTTGACTACGAAGAAGATATCGGTGCTAAGTTAAGAAAGCAAATCGAACAAATCGACGAATCAAGAGGCTTAAAGAAGGAAGTTTTGACTTCCTTCTTAAACAAAGTCTACAAACGTTCCAAATAGATACATAGAAAAATAGACCTTGTGCTACGCTAGGAATCAAATAAACGTGATTTATTAACTTATAAATAAAATTCTTTAATGTAAATAACTCTTGAACTAGTCGTTTTATAAGCTAGTTAACTTTCAATGCCTTTTAACCAATCGGTTTTTAAACTCTTTAGAGCAAAGTGAAATTAAGCATTAGCCTTTTCTAAATCTTCTCTACCTGCCTTAGTGTACAAGTATTCGTTGTAGTCTCTGGCCTGAGCCCAGACGTTCCAGACAATAACAGCTGGGATAACAACAAATAAGGTTTGGTTCTTAACTCTTCTGAAGACGTTGAAAACAGAGTTGTATAAAGCACCCTTCAAAGGTTTAGTAGCGTATGGAGAAACTGTATAAGTAGTAACGTATTTTTGCTTTGGGGAACCAATGTTACCCCACCATCCCATGTAAGCTTTTGGACCTGCACCAGCCATTTTAATACTATATTAATTGTGTAACTGAAGTAGTTGATAATAAATTCAACTGTTATATTTGATTATTTGAGAGTAGTTTTTCACCTACAACTATTGGCTGAACTATGAGGACCACAATTTACGCGGGAATGCCACGGTTAAGATGAGATGCGCGCGTAATTTACAGAACATAATATTTCACTACTGGTGGTAGAGTTTTCTGTGTCTAACTTGCCTTACAGAGTGGTGAAGTACGTGCTACACGAAGCCAGAGCAATTGTATCGAGTTACTAGGCATATACATAATCCCGAATGATATAAAACTTTTATAGTAATTTATTAAATGTACACAAAAAAGATAGAACGACACTAAAACCCATTAAAATAAAACTTCTTATAAATTAAACATAATGTCATAGAAATTTTAACTTAAAATATTGATGATTATAAACCTAACGTTTGAATTATAATTTATTCCAATAAGTTTAAGCAGCAGTTACACGCTTTTGAGTAGCTAATCTACCTCTTTGTCTGACGTTTAATCTGACCTTCTTGGAGTCGTCAGCCTTTTCAACGGCTTCGTTTTCTTCGGTTAAGATAAGTTCAATGTGACATGGGGAAGATTGGTAAGCGTTAATTCTACCGTGAGCTCTGTAAGTTCTTCTTCTTTGTTTTGGAGCTTGGTTAACTTGAATGTGGGAAACCTTCAATTTAGAGACGTCTAAACCCTTGGACTATATATATGTTAGTATTCTATTCGCATTGCGTTCATGTGTGTGTGTGTTCCTAGTGTCTTCAAATATACATACTTCAGCGTTAGCTTGTCCGTTTCTTAATAAATCCTTAATGAAGTTAACGGACTTGACTGGCCATCTAGCCTTGGTGACACCAAATTCTTTACCTTGACCGGTACGTCCAATGGATGAATTGAAACGACGGAATGGGACGGCTCTTTGGTGGTCTAAGACTTGGTCTAAGTATTTTTGAGCTCTTTCCAAGTTCCATCCGCTGATGGCTTGGGCGGTTTCACGAGTGTTCTTGTAGGAAACTCTTAAGTATGAACCACGAGCAGAAGCTGATTTAGCTGGGTTAGCAGATGTAGCAGCGTAACGAACCATTTTAATTGATCTGTCTAAACTAAACTTTTGGTGATAGTATAATACCTTTAAGTTTACTTTAATTTTTCATGAAAATTTTCATTATCCACTTGAGAGTTCCTGCCTGCGTACAGCGAACGATCGCAGTGTTAGTATTCACACTAATCCGAGCGGAAAATTACATAATCAGACTCTCTGGATGTCGAAAATGCGGGATCTGGGAGGTCGCGAAAAAACAGTCACAATGGGGCTTAATCCCTAACATCACATGACTTGTATAAAATGCTGAGAGTGTCTTTCCGTGGTCTAGTGAAGGACGTAATAATAGCGAAGAAAGCACGCCGGGTTTCAGTGTGAGCGCTTGATCACGGACCACCAAGTTCGTGTGCATTCTTGTGGTCGCCAAGTTTATTGGTACAGAGATAGAATGGAAAGAACATGCATGAAGACGAATACTCTGGTTGTAGGACGAGATACATGTAGAGATAGAGACACGATACAGAAGGAGTTGAACAAACAGATGTAGCGGACTATATGAGTGCGATTTGCGCCAGGTGTGGTGGTGGAGTGGGTTACACGTAGGAGAGGCATTTACTTATTTAGGGAAAAATTGGCGTAACGGGTAATGGTGCAAAATACGAGTGCGACCGGTTGCGGAGGATAGGGACAATTTGATGCAAAATAGGCCAAATTTTATTCTTATCGGAGTGAGGACTGCAGTGGGATACGACTCGTTACGTGAACTAGGTATGCGGCATGCGTCTACAGACGGATATATTAAAAGTACGACAGTGTCTCGGGCTAGACGGTATGGTCGATATTAGCATAGAAGTAGAAGACAAGCCCCAGGGGTGGAAAAAAATAATCAGACAAGACGGACGGACAGCCCGGGTCAACAAGATGGGTCTCATAAGGAGTCACGGATCCCACAAGCCTCCAGGATTAGAATAACTAATTAGTCGATTGTTAGAGGGGTCATGGTTAAAATTCGCTCTTGTTTGCTCGGGCTTGTCACAAAAACATTCACTATTATTCTCCATCTTCTCGGCTGATAATGCAAGGTGTAACTACAAACCCATCTATTATGCAAGGTGGGTCAATGGATATGACGTTGGGCAAGTCTAGGATCCGGCGGATTATTTTTTTTATTTTTAGTTAGGATTTAAGTTTCACTCCAATGCATTCTTTGTTCCTTACAGGCCCTTTATTTTTTTTCTTCATCTTCTCCATACTCATCGCTATTTGGACAATTTATAGTCGCTATTGGAGCTATGATTAATGCCATCCTCAGTATATAAGCTCTATAGTAGTAGTTAACCGCACATAGGCCGATTTTCCAAGGTACACGACAAATGGCAGACTGCCTTACAAAAAATCAACAACGAAAAATGAGAGTGTATTAATACCGTCTAATTAATCTCTCTAAGAGCCTTAACCTTTCAATACATCGAGTAGTAGTACTAGGAGAGTGCAATATTGATAACATAAGGTAATTTACACAAACGGTGAATTTTCAAGGAAATACATACATTGATTAACGCGTTATTAAAGTGAGAAACGAAATAGCACTGTCACGTATCGCAGGAAGTGTATTCTAGTATATTGGCGGTATTAATTGAATACATTATTTGTAAACGATAGCATACAACATAGCATTAATAGAAAAGGGCTGGTTATCACCTTTGTTTTGGCAGAACGTATAGCGGCAATCACCATAACTCATTGCACAATAGCAAGCACAATTGGCAAGTATGAGTTCAGATGAACATTTGGATCATTTACAGGAAGACAAAGATGACGATATAGTAGCAGGCTCTCCGGAAGGATCTCAGAAACAGGATTCGGAGGCGCCTGAGGTAGCCGAAGAAGGTGCTAAACCCGAAACTGGTGCTTCTGAAGACAGTAGCGATGTTGATATGGAGGGAGACAATTTACCAGATGTGGCTAAACCCGATGACGATGAAATTAGCGACAAGGACACAGGAAACCACGATACTGAGAATTCGGTTGCAAAGGAGTCGGAGGTAAAGGAAGAAGACGAGCCGCGAGAAGACCAGAACGGTTCTGACGCACCGAGTAAAGATGATTCTATGGATGTAGATGAAAGTCCGGATGACAAGCAACCGCAAGAAGGTTCCGACAAAGAGGAGATACAGAATGATAAATCTGAAGAAGATGGATCCGACAAAGAGGAAATACAGAATGACGAATCTGAAAAAGAAAAATCCGAAGCAATCCAAGACATAGAAGCCAGTCAAGATGTAGAAGGGAAGGTGAAGGATGAAGCTGACGATGAAGAAGAGAAAAGGGACAAACAAGATGAAGAGAAAAAGGATGAACAATACAAAGATGAAGACGTAGACAATAAGGATGAAGATAAGGATGATGAACGCGATGATGAAGGCGATGATGATGAGGACGATGATGACAAAATTAAAGATGCCGAAAATCAAACCCCAATCAACCAGACACATGCTATAATATTACCGTCGTACTGTAGCTGGTTCAATATGAGCAAAATTCATAAGATTGAGAAGGAATCCTTACCAGAATTCTTTGATACTACCCACCCATCAAAATCTCCAAAAATTTATATTAATTACCGTAATTTCATGATAAATTCATATAGGTTGAACCCAAATGAGTATCTTACTTTGACATCGTGTCGTCGTAACTTGGTTGGCGATGTCGGAACACTCATGAGAGTTCATAGATTTTTGAATAAATGGGGGTTAATAAATTACCAAGTTAATCCTAATTTCAAGCCAGGTTATGCGCTTGAAAAATTACCAAATGGTTCCCAGATTGGTTTACCATATACTGGTAATTTCCATGTTACATACGATACTCCAAGAGGATTATTCCCATTCGAAACCCACAAATTCAATGAAGACCGTGTTGATGTTTCAAAACTAAAGAAACTATTGAACATTGAACAAGTTTCAGATCAACCTATAAATAATAAGATGTCTAGCGATGCCAAAAATGTCGATGATTTAGACACAGATTTGTCTGAACCACCACTGAAGAGACATAAGTCTACTAATGATGGCTGGACTGATAAAGAAATCTCAAAATTGATCTTAGGCGTAAAAGATTTTCCCAATGATTGGTATAAGATTTCTAAAAATGTATCAACTAAAACTCCGCAAGAATGTATTCTTAAATTCCTTAAATTACCAATTGAAGATAATTTTAATAATCTAACTGATAAGGAGTTAGGCTTTTTGAAATATTCGTCTAACTTTCCAACCAGTTCAATTGATAACCCTGTTATCAGTAATTTGGCATTTATGACTCAATTAGTCGATAGTGATGTAGCTAGGGCCGCAAGTGAAAGGGCTTGTAAAGTTATGGACACCAAGGCGTTAGAAAAAATTAGAGAAGTATATGGTGAAGCAGATCAAACGAAGGCTGACAATTTAAAACAAAATGAAAAGAAACCTGAAGAATCAGAAATACACAAAGGTCTTGGTGATGATTTAGAAAATAAACAAGATAGTGAGAGTAAATTTTCACCAAAGAAGGATACCGATACAGAAATGAGTATTGATGATGATCAAAAAGATGAGAAAAAGTCTACTTCTGGTGATAATAAACATGATGAAGAAGTAAAATCCAATGGTACTAATGAGCAAAATGGAAATGTTGACGGCATATCACCAAAACATCAAGCTGAAGTTGATTTGATAGGTGAATATAAAGACGAAAAGACTGATCCTCTTGAGATTATTAAAGATGCATCATCTAATACGTTTGGAATTGTAGGAGCAAGAAGTCATTTGTTCGCCAATTATGAAGAACGAGAATTAAATAAATTAACGAATACAATAGTTAATAATCAAATTTCCAAACTTGACTTGAAATTGAAGAAGGTAGATGAATTGGAGAAAATATACGAGAAAGAAAGAAAGCATTTGGCCAAACAACAAGAAGAAGTTTTCATTGATCGTTTGGCATTAACCAAATCGACTATCCATATTACCAAGAAACTAAATGATGCTATTTCCATGATTCAACATAAGACTGAAGATATAAGTGAATTAGGCGACGTTTCTAATATCTTATCAGAGGTCCAATCACTCCTTTACAAACCAAATAGACATTCTTTGATTCTGAATGCAGTTGAGAAACAATCAAACGATTCAACTGATAAGTCGAACAATGTTTCCAATGAAGATACCGAGAAGGGCAATATAAATAGTAATAGTTCTGCCGCTAATAAGGAAAACAATGTTGTCAAGCCATTATCTTTAGATACGCCACTGTCATTCAAAGTTTGGGTTCCATAAAAAACTTGGTTTTATTTATATAATTTAACCTTTCAATTCATTAAGTCTCCTTAATTTTAATTCTATAGACTATGATGAATGCTTAGTTTATAGTGGAAGTAGCTTAATACTTGTATAATTTATAATGTTAGAATATATGTATTTATATTTTCACGTGAAACAATGTATAATGTTCTCAAAAGATATTTTAGATGATTGGAAATGTGCTAGATAAAGAGTCATTGGGTAAACAAAGTATGTATAAAGTATCTGAATATTCTAACATTAATCAGGAGCGAGAGGATGCCTCTATGAAAGAAGAAAATACTGCAATTGAGATTGATACTGGTGATGCATTACAAGATAATGATTATAATATGAGCGCCGATGAATACACCTCTCAGAAACCAGCGGATAGCATCAATGAAGGGGAAAGAATAGATGAGATAGAAGACGAATTGTTATCTAGTGGAGATGAGGATCTAGACCCAGAAATACATAAAATAGGAGCTGGAGACGGTGGTGATACTTATAGAAATTCTGTCATAGAATTTAATAGTGAAGATGAAATTGAAAATTTGGAAGAAGACGAACAAACATTTGATAAAGAAACGGAGAACATAAATGAGGACGAAAGGAGTGATTATCTTTCAAATGACAGTGTAGTTGAATTAGACGAGTTAAACAATTTCGAGGACCACGAGGATGTGCAAGAAATACCGCCTCCATCTAATAATCCAATGCATAAAACAGAGGATAATGGGTACAATAATCAGGAAACCCTCGAAGTGAGACAACACGGAGAAGTCATAGATGAAAATGACCAGGATGAAAATGACCAGGATGAAAATGACCAGGATGAAAATGACCAGGATGAAAATGCGAATAAAATTAAAGAAATAGAGGTGAATGCAGATGTTAATCAAGAAATCTTTGAAGAGTTGAATAATGAAGGCCTAGATAAAGATGAACATGAAGAAATAAAAGAAGCAGAAGAAAATGATGTAAAATATGAGAAAGAAAAAGATGATGATGAGAAGGAAGAAGAGGAGGAAAATAAAGAAGAGGAAGAAAAGGAAATAGAAGTACAAGGAGAACAACAAGAAGAAGATGATGGAGAGTCAGTAAATGAACAAGCTGGTTATAGAGAAGTTCGTAAGAATGAAAATACTACACACGAGGAAGCAACAATCGAAGGAATAATTGAATATAACAATGATAAAAAAGATGAGGGTTGGCCAGATAAAGAAAGCATGCCCGCTAGTCCTAATATAAGTATTCAATCAAAAATGCCCAATTCAAATTTAGAATGTACATTTCCAATTATTATCAACATTGCTGAAACAGACTTTCTCCTAGTTCCTTTTGATAAACACAGGAATCCAGAAATTGATGTATCTCACTTGGTTTCCTTGTATGATGATAATGAAATTTTGAAATTAACTATAGAAGAGTTCTTTGGATTAATGAGAACGAATGAGGATCTAAACGAGATTCACCAATTTACAGTTAATAAAGAGTTGGTTCTTGTAATTCCTGAATTGAATTTGTCGATTACTGAAGATAACATTTATTCTCGTGATATTACTATAGAGGATTTTATAGTATCATTTGAAAATTTAAAATCCAATTCTATAAATGATGGCGAAGAATTGGTTCATAAGTCAATATCATTCCTTCTTACTAGCCAAACTAGATTCATTACTAATTTCAATAACTTGACTGAAAGTATCCGAAGAGGAAAAGGATTTAATTGCGTCAGCGTAAAACACTCTGTTCTTGAGCCAATAGCTATAGCACCCGAAGCACGTACCGAAGATTCACATAAACGACAATCGTTAGATTCTAGTGATGAAACTGATACGCAACAAATTAAACGGGCGAAGATGAGTATATAATTATATAGAGAGTAAATACTTGGATTCTAATACATTTCCTGCTTCGTCATTATTAATTATTTATAGTACTATCCTATTCTATAACACCACTCTCTCTCAACTTATTATACAATTCAATATCAATATACTTCTGCAAGTTGGGCTCGCCACTCAAACCTTTTCTCTTTCTAGTTTTCATTACGAAGTCCCTTGCCAACGATGCATTAGGAACAGGCCTAAGTTGTGGTAAATAGCAATCGCTATCCAATGGATCTCCTGGAACAACATCCCATCTTTCGAATACTAAAAAGCACATCGCTTGTCCTTGAGTTTGAAGTCTTAAATCGGATTCTAGTCCAATAGATTCTATAACTGGAACTTGACCTTCTATATGAAATAACTGCGTTCCAGGTACTGGATTTTCAGTCGTCACCATCCCTCTTCTCCTGTCAAGCAATTTTTTAACAGCTATGATGGCTTGATAAGAACATGTTACATAAACAGTATATATAGGTTCCATCAAGCGAGGAGATGCAGTCAAAAATCCAGTATAACATGCCTTCCTTGTCATTGGTATTATCTGTGTTCCACTTCTTTGTATTTCAGATCCACTGATTACCGCGTCTAATATCTTGAACTTTGTATTTCTTATAGGTTCATCACATAATGGTCCCTCATTAACACTCCACTTAAATCCTAGGCTTATACTATCCTTGAGGGAATACAACAACTTTTTATCGGTTTCACCTTCTAATGTATCGTCAATTAATATACTTGGATTATGAAGATCTTCTGGTCCGAAGCACCAAACTGATCTCGCTGATAATGCATCCCATCCATATTCTTTACGTAAAATCTTGGAGGTTGTTTTCAACGGCTGAGATAAATTTATTTTACCATTTTCGATAGCTTCGCTCAATCTACTGTCATTTACTGGCTCGGAAATGATAGAAATTGAATTGTTTCCTGACGATGCTTTAGACGAAATTTTCGTTACAGATGTATCAATACACGTTTCACTGAATCGTATCATTGGGTCGCTTACTTTGATTTCCAAATCGTCTGTGAAAAAATTCCTCAAATCATGTAACATGCAATCCAAATATATTTCACCAGGGCCAAATAAAACATGTTCTCCACTTTCTTCTACCTTTATTGTACATGCTAAGTATGCTTTGTTAAGTTTACGTAAACCCTCTAATAATTTTGGCAACTCCGAAGGGTTTGCAGGTTCTATTGCTATTTTGAAAATAGATTGCCTCTCGTATGACAAAGGCCTAAAAATTTTTAAGTCATTGCTGAAATCCGCATTATCATAGATCGTTGCACCTTTAGAAATGATTGAATCAATTCCGCTTATTATCACAATCGAACCAGCAAATGCTTCCTTAACTGGAATTTTGTACCTTCCGCCTGGAATAAATAATTCATCAATAACTTCTATTTTATAGTCATCATCATCTTCGTCGAAGTTTTGTCCTAAAACCCTCACCTTTGATCCAGCCCTTACCGAACCTTGGTATATGCGGACTAAAGTATAAAACCTTTCACCGTCAGCTGATGCAATTAATTTATTTGCCCGAGCTATTAATCTAGCAGATGGTACATTATTGGAACCTGAAAGTACTTCTAGTCTATCTGATGATGTTTCTATGGGTGATGGGATATTATGAACTACCAGATCAACAAAACCTTTTGAACCCGAGAAAACCAGTTTGAATATATCTTTCAATAGCATCTGAGAGTCTTGCTTATATTGAGCATTATGTAATGAAACTTTGAAATTGTTCCATAATAGACTTGCCAACTTCTTATTTGAGCCATCATAGGTTAATGTCTGTGTGATGATTTTATAAATAGGTTCCAGAATAAAAAAATTGAAAGACCTCAGGAATTTTCCATTGTTTGAACTATTAACGAACTGAGATTTATCGTGGTTATAAAAAATGTCGCCCCATAATCTTCGACTAAAGTCTTGAGAATCGACTCCTTGTAATTTGTGGTTATCGGCATAGAGTTTCGTAAAGCTATCCAATGTGAAAACGAACTCCAAACTTGAAGATGCAAAAATAACATTTCCATCTATTGGACTGAATATCATTTGCTGTCTATACGTACTCACGTATTCATTTTCGTTTATAAAGTTATTAATATCATCCAATGTGTAACTAATTTTAAAATAAAAGTCTTCTACGGGTAACCTTAATTCTAATATTAGTCTATCAATTTTGTTCAAGACAATTGTAATAGGTGTGTTGTTCTTCATAAGTTCTGAGATCAAGCTCTTATCTCTGGGGGTTAGACCTTCAACTACATCTATTACGAGAAGAGCACCATCCACAATCTGCAAAGCCGATGTACTTTCTGACGCAAAGTTACTATGACCAGGCGTATCAATAATATTAAATACAAATGACTTATCATTTAAGTCTGGTAATAATAATGTAATAGGCGATGCTTCAATCGAGATACCTCTGTCGATTTCCAACTTATGATTATCCATAAATCGAAGAGGTTGAAAATTTTTCAAACTACTACTCAATGAAATTGATGGTGAATGAGTTTGCAAAACAAGCATATCAATAAATGTTGTTTTTCCTGAGTGTAAGTTACCGATTACTGCTATGTTTCTAACTCTCTCTGGAAGCAGGTTCATCGTAGATATCATATAATCACGGGAATACACTAGTTCTGGTAAGTTCTTAACTCTGTGGTCATCTTCGTCAACGTTGTTCATTACCGCTTCAGTAAATTCTACCTTTAACTTCTTCTTATTCACTGGTTTAATAACTGGGGCATCAACAGCTTGTTCATATGGTTTTGCTATTATGGTTTCCACTCCTGGCCCAAACTTTTCTGAAAGCTTGAGTCCATTCCCATTATTTTCATGTATCACTAAGGCTTCATTGCCTGTTTCAACTATCAAATCTTCTGCTTCTTTCTCTGATTGCACATCATCTTGTTCTTCGGGTATTTCATCTAAGGAATCTGCATCTGAATCGAGTGGATCTCCGATTATATTACCAAATTCATCATACAATTCATCTCCGTCCATAGTAAGTATATCAGGTTCCTACCGTACACAAATTTATATATATATATAAGTAAGTATATAACTTATTCTGATAATCACATCGTGAAAAA